GGCCTTGCCTGAGGTTGGCATCTTTTGCATCCTGGGTAGTGAAGGGCCTGTTAGGTCGTGCTTTTCTCAGATGGCAATTTTTCACCATGTTAGGCCTGTTGTAAATACCAGGAAGCTTTACCTATTATTTTTATTATTTTATTATTTTTGCTATGTTCAGGGGGTGGTTAGAAAACTGTTTTTCTATTTTAACGTGCTGAAGTTAGAATCTGAGTTTGTTTTGTTTTTGCTTTCTGTGTTTTGACTTTCAGAGATTGCAGGTTAGAGTTGTTTTAACTTTTAAATAACTCTTAAATATGCACACTTATCCAAGCAGCAACGATCAGAGATTGTCTGGGCTTTAGGATTTTAGGGCCCCAACTTTTAAGGAAAGCATCAAATAAAACCTAGTCATTTCAGCCCATTCAGTTGAGAAACTAGAGTTTACCATACTGAAAACAAAACAAAAAGCAGCAAGCCTAGGAAACTATACAAATCTTCTGTCGATGTTTTGAGGTGATTAGGTGTTTTTAAGTTTCATTTCCTTGGAATGAAGTATTCACTCAGTTGCTTAGTTAAAAGTACTAATATTTTAAATAGCCAGGGTGTGTTGGGTGGTGCACATCTTTAATCCCAGCACTTAAAGGCAGAAAGTTCTAGGCTATCCTGGTCTTTACAATGGGAGTTCCTGGGCTACATAGACCTTGCCTCAAAAAACAACAAAATATACTTTAAAAGTATTCTGTGGTATTTTACCTTTGATCTCTCTCTCTCTCTCTCTCTCTCTCTTTCTTTCTTTCTGGTTTTTTTGAGACAGGGTTTCTCTGTGTAGCCCTGGTGGTTTTGGAACTCACTCTTTAGACCAGGCTGGCCTAGAACTCTGAGATCCATCTGTCTCTGCCTCCCAAGTGCTGGGATTATAGTTGTGCTCTGCCACTGCCCAGTGTAGACCAGATTGGCCTCAAACTCAGCCATGTAGTCAAGGCTGTTTTTGAATTCCTGGTGTTTCTGTCCCCTGTCCCCAAAGTAATGGGATTATAGGAAAATCACTGTATGCCCCAGAAACCAGAACATTTTATTTATTTATTTATTTATTTATTTATTTATTGGTTTTTTGAGACAGGGTTTCTCTGTGTAGCTTTGGAGCCTATCCTGGCACTCGCTCTGGAGACCAGGCTGGTCTCTAACTCACAGAGATCCGCCTGCCTCTGCCTCCCAGTGCTGGGATTAAAGCATGTGCCACCAACGCCCAGCTCAGAACATTTTATTTTTAAGACTGACTAAAATCCTCAAGATGAACTGGATGCTGCAACAGCTGCCCTCTTGGGTTTAGGTGTTGTCCCTTCACGGAATCCCTGTCTGAATATTCGATTGACAACTTTTAGGTGCTTCATTCGCCCACTGAGGCCAAAGAGACTGGAAGATCCTTTTTTTTTTTTTTAAATTAAAATTTCTGAAATCTGGCATCATAGGTGGTTTCTACCTTTAGGTTCTCACCTGAACTTTCCCAAGTTCCCTTGTGTGGTCTTTGAATTCTGGAAAGGACCTGAGTCATGCACAGATAGATTTTCGTAAAGAACATTTAGAAGCTGCAGTTGCTTTCAGCTCTGTTAGAGGTTACCAGCTCTAATCTCTATGGGTAGCTGAATTATAGGTCTTTTAACAGCCATACCACTCATCTCTAGAGCAAGGGTCTGGACTCATAGTCACATTGGAGGTTGTCCTGAAATCAATCAATCTCTCTCTCTCTCTCTCTCTCTCTCTCTCTTTCTTTTCCCAGACAGGTCCAGACAGGGTTTCTCTGTATGACAGTCTGGCTGTCCTGGTACTTTATAGACTAGGCTAGCCAATGCCAAGTGCTGGGATTAAAGGTGTTCATCACCATGCCCCACTTCTAAAGTGAAGTTTTGAGATTAAAATACAAAATGATAACTTGAAGTATTATCTTCAGTTCAGTCCTGAAAATAAGAAGATGGGCAGCCTCTGGGGGAAGGCATTTTGATAGATGTGGGAAAGTAGAAATTTTGGTGGATTTACACTTTTATTTTGGGAACCTCAGCAGCTTTGTGGCCAGAGTGACATACCCTTTGAGTGAGGGGGCAGGTTGGAGCTAAGGAAAGTACTCTGGGAAACTAGTTTATCTAAAGTCATTGTTAAAGATGTAACATAGCATGCGTCTGATTTCAGTCAAGAGGCAAAGATAGGATCACTGCAAGTTCAAGGTCAGCTTAGTTTACATAGCCAGACAGGGCTATATATAGCAAGACCCTTTATTAAATAACACAAAAACCAACAAAATAGTCCATAAGTTAGAGTAAGCTATTTCCAGTGGCAGTGCTTTTTTTTGTTTGATTTTGCTGTCTCATCTCTGTTCCTAGAACAATGTGATACTTTGTAGACACTCATTTATGATTACTACTGTCAATGAAATAATAATCTTGCTATGCTGCTTAGGCCTGTCTGGAGCCTTCTTTCAATTGCTGAGTTACAGGCATGAAGCACTGTACCTGGCTTTTATTAATTTGTTGCAGAAATGGTTGTTTCTCCCCTTCATTTGCTTTTTCCATTGTTTATATTTTTGGTTAATACTCTTGTTTCTCAAACCTTGAAGAAAAGTGGTTTGTTTGTTTGGTTTTAGTGAGATAGTGTTTCACTATATAGTTCTGTTCTGGAACTCTGTATACCAAACTGGGCATCAAATGCATAGATATTTGCTTCTTCCTCTCAAGTGCTAGAATTAAAGGCTGTGCCACCGTTCCTGGCCAGAGATAAATTTTCAAAGGGAGAGTCCACTGAGTCCAGTAAGTAAAGGCTAGAAATGAGCTGGTTATGGCATTTAGTACCAGTGTAATGGTAGGAAGTAACTACCATAACATATATACAGTCAGACAGATAAACATAAATAAATGTAGAAAGAAAGGAATTAGTATCACTGTCCAGTGAATAAAACTAGCTTCTAGGAAATTGATGGAAAATCAGTTGCTTTGGGAGGGGCCCATAAGGACCCACCAGTCCTTCAAGAGTTACTGGCAGCTAATGGTTTGCGAGAGTAAAGGAACAAGACATTTCCTAAAGTAGTGTAGCTACTAGCAAGTTGGTCCTGTAAATAATCAATCCCTCATCTTATAAGCTCTTAATTAAACTAATTGTATCACATACACAAAACAGAATTATGAAAGAAGAGCAGCTGTTAGGAAGAAGGGGATCCATGGGAGAGGGACAAGAGAGGGCAGTGGTAAAAACACATGCACGAAAATGCCAACAAAACTCATCATGTATAATTAATACATGGGAATAGACTTTAAAAGGAACTTAGTTTCCTTCCCTCTCCTCCCCTCTTCAAGACAGGGTTTTTCTGTGTAGCTTTGGTGTCCTGGAACTCACTCTATAGACCAGACTGGCCTTGAACTCAGAGATCTCCCTCTCTTGAGTGTTGGGATTAAAGGTGCTACTGTCCAGCAGGAATTTAGTTTCTTAATTTAAGTGAGGATTTGAATTTTCTCATATTACAAAATTTCTTGATTTTTGTTTCTGGATTACAAAAGTCATGTGTTTTTACAGAAATGCCAGGAAACGCCTTTTGAGTTGGATCCCCTTTCTGAAGGATCTCTAGATCCTTCAGACCTTCAGAATGTGTTTTTGTCCTGTTGTATTACTTTTTGTAATATGTTGTTTTGTGCTTGGTGTTCCTGTACTAGGAAATGTTCTTGGGTTCATCAGGTTTATTTTTTGAGGAGGGTAGTGCTAAAAATCGTGTTTTGTTGTACTGAAGCTTGCTTGGTGGAATATGGCTTCCCTAAATCATCTCTACCTCACTTCATTCCTTTGGGGAGACAAGCAGTAAGAGAACTCTTTCAAAACTCTGGAATTAATCATGGTGACCATGTGCCAGGCATTATGAAAACAGTGACTTTTTAAAAATCTTATTTATTTATTTATTTATTTGTTTATTTATTGGTTTTTTGAGACAGGGTTTCTCTGTGTAGTTTTGGAGC